ATAAAATAGAATCTCATTATTTTGACCAAAACTACTAGGGTTAGCCTCCCAAATATCTGGGACTATGCCCAGCAGAGAAATGATTTTTTTTTGTTATTTTTATGTGTATGTATGTATTGTGTGCGTGTATGTAAAGGCACACGTCATGCATTCCTCACAGAGGACAGAAGGTGTTGGATCCCCTAGAACTGGAGTTACGGACAATTGTTAGCTGCCATGTGAGTGCTGTGATTTGAACCTGGGTGTTCTGCAAGAACCACCACTGCTCTGAACCACTGGGCCATCTCTCCAGCCCCCAAGAATTTTTTTTTTTTAATAATTTTCATCTTATGTGTATGAGTGTCTTGCCTACATGTATATAAGTGCACCCATGTCTGTAGAGGCCAGAAGAAGGCGTCACATCCCCTGGAACTGGAGTTAAGGACAGTTGTTAGCTGCCATGTGAGTGCTGTGATTTGAACCTGGGTATTCTGCAAGAACAGCCGCTGCTCTGAACTGCTGGGCCATCTCTCCAGCCCCCAAGAAATTTTTTTTTTTTTTTTTTTTTTTTTTTTTTTTGTCTTTTTGAGACAGGGTCTCCTTGTAGCCCCAGCTGTCCTGGAACTCACTATGTAGACCAGGCTGGCCTCAAACTCACAAAGATCGGCCTGCCTCTGCCTCCCAAGTGCTGGGATTAAACAAGACAACCACCATGCCCAGCTGAAATTTTTTTTTAATAATTTTCATTTTACGTGTATGAGTGTCTTGCCCACATGTATATAAGTGCACCCATGTTATTCAAAGTCTGTAGAGGCCAGAAGAAGCCCTGGAACAGGAGTTAAGGACAGTTGTTAGCCACCATGTAAGTGCTAGGAACTGAACTCTGGTCCTCTCCGAGTAGCCAGTGCTCTTTTTAACTGCTGAACCATCTCTTCACCCCCAAGACAAGTGAACTTTCTTTGGGCTGATGATGTAGCTTAGTGAGAGAGTGCTTGCCTAGTATGCACAAAGAGCTGGGCTTCATCTCAGCACTGAAAAAAATACTTTTTATACATACATAGATTCTGTTCTACTAAGGTATGTTAATAATTACACCATTCTAACTAAACATACTCTTTTTCTACTAGCATAACTATGTAAGAAACATAAGTAGTCTAAGATATGAGACTAGTATACGGTTATTAAAAGTAGTCATTGAATTGGAGAGATAGCTCAAGGATTAAGAGCACTGGCTGCTATTCCATAGGACCCTGGCTGTTGCCAGCACCCATGTCGGGCAGTTCACAACCATCTTTAACTCTAGCTCCAGGGAATCCCATGTCCTCAGCTTCTAAGAGCACCTGCACTCATGTGCACATACACAAATACAGAAAACACATGGGCATAAAATCTTTTTCAAGTGGTCATTAATAATGCTAAGGTTAGTAACTTTAAAGTACTGTTGTAGATTCTGACATACCACCTGTATTTTTAAATTATTTTCATTCTTACTGTCTTTAAAATACAGGAAGCTTTTAAAAGGAATTGACATAAATCCTACCATTAGTTTAATTTTCTATGGAATAAAGAACAAAGGATATAAATTTGATTCCCTTTGTTTTTTGCTCTTCATTTAAAGAGAGAATTGTTTTTTAATATCTGCAAATAATTAAAAATATATTACTTGTAACATAGTTTCTTTTTTGCACAGCCTCAGTGTTCACATGCTTGGCTATAGCACTGGGGTTTTATAGGTTCTGGAAGACCTACTGATGCTCCCACTGCTGCTGCCAATGTCGTAGAACAGTATACCAGGACTGACCCTTCTAACACTGTCAGCTGCAGCAGACACGACAAATTATTCAAAGTACATCTGGACTAAAGGGGAGTGATTTGGTTTTTGGCCTTTTTTTTTTTTTTTTTTTTTTCGGTATGGCTTTATTATGTTGAAAACTGTCATCCAAAGCCTGTTTTGAGCTATAAAGGCATTTTTTCCTTATCCTTTTGATACTGTAGAAATTGAAATAGTTTTCTTATATTTGAGTAGCTTTATAAACAAAGTAGGATTTATTATTGTAAAATTGAAAACAATTTATAGTCCTCATACTTACTGGATTTAACTTTCCTGATTATTACTGCAGTTGAACTTTTATATAAAATAAAAGGCTATTATGGCAAAGTTGTTTGGAGTCTGAGTGACTTACTATGTAACTGGATACTTCTTTTGTAATGAATAATTTAAAAATAATGTGTATTGCTGGGCGTGGTGGCACACGCCTTTAATCCCAACACTCGGGAGGCAGAGGCAGGTGGATCTCTGTGAGTTCAAGGCCAGCCTGGTGGACATAGTTAGTTCCAGGACAGCTGGGGCTACAGGGAGACCCTGTCTCAAAAAAGACCAAAAAAAAAATAATAATAATAATGATAATAATAATAATAATGTATATCCCACTGCAAATGTGTTACACCTAATGTATAATCTATAAAGGTGTTCTGATTATTACATGTATCTTTAATTTTTCACCTGGAAAGCAGTTTTGTTTGCTTCTAACCACGGATTGAACCTAGGTCCTCCACCATGCTGGTCAAGTACTCTGTCACTGAGATACAGCCCCCAGTGACTATCCTTACTACTTAAATTTGCTCACATTAACCCATTATCTTAAATTCATTATGTGAAACAGATTTTCTTCATGATTCATTTAAAATCAGCAGACATCTCTTCTTACATACACAGTACCATCTCAAAGAGGGTTAGGAATGTAGTTCAGAGATTCAACACTTGCCCAGCATGCAAAGGCCATGGATTGGATCCCCAGCACTGCACACATTTAAAAAAAAAAAAAAAATCAAATTTCTACTCTTTTTGTTTTGCTATCCAATCTTAAACTACAGTTTGGGGAGGAGGGGTACATATTGTGTAAATACTTGGCCGTGTGTGTGAGTGGAGACCACAGGTCAATGTCGAGTGTGTTCCTCATTCAATCTCCACCTTGTCTTTTTGAGACAGGGTATCTTGCTCAGGCTCATCATATCAGTTAGAATCACAGCCCCCAGTATCCCATCTATGTCTTGCCGTGTCCTCCAGTGCTGGGGTTACAGACACACTGCTGTGCCCAGGTTTTACATGGGTGCTGGGGTTCTGAATTTAGGTTGTCATGCTTACATACCAAGTACTTCTACACACTGAGCCTATCTCTCCAGCCCCCTCTATATTTTTCTTACATAATTTTCTTCTTAGTTCTCTTTAGTTCTATCATTCTATCCAGATCGAGAAGCTAACACCAAAAAGTGTTAAGCATTTCACAAGATTTTGTAATGCTTTGGCAAAAATTAAACCAGATTTGTAGCCCATTTGGTCAGCCCTAAACACATGTACATACAAGCAATACTAAATGGACTCAGTAGGATGTATGTGTATATATGTATATGTATACACACATAGGTATATAACAAAAAAGCGGTCACAAATTGAGAGGAAGTGGGGGATGTGGAGGAATTGGAGGGGGAGAGGGAGTGCTAAGAATGATGTAAATAGAGTACTCATGTACGAAATTCTCAACAAATAATTTTTTAAAAAATTCAAACTTTGAGCAAACCATGGTGGCACATACTTTTAATCCCAGCACTCAGGAGGCAAAGGTAGGTGAATCTGAGTTCAAGACTAGCCTGATCTACATAGTCACTTTCAGACCAGCTGGGGCTACAGGGAGACTGTCTCAGAAAGACCAAAAATAAATAAATAAATAAATAAATTCATGGTGGCATTAATCCCAGCACTCAGGAGGCAAAGGTAGGTGAATCTGAGTTCAAGACTAGCCTGATCTACATAGTCACTTTCAGACCAGCTGGGGCTACAGGGAGACTGTCTCAGAAAGACCAAAAATCAAAAATAATTATTTTTATTTTATGTATATGAGTGTATTACCTGCATGTATGTGAGTGCACTTCTGTCATGCAAGGCCACAGATGTCAGAAGAGGGCTTTGGATTCCCCTGGAACTGGAGTTAAGGAGGAAACCATTGAGAGGGAACTGACACTGATTTTAACCACTCCAACAGCTATCAAAATACCTGAAAGCAAATTCTGAATCCATCACT